GGATTTAGGTTGTTTGAGCCTTCTATGCTAGTAAAAACATTTCAATTAATGATAGATTAGTCAAGTATTTAAATTGAATAAAATCTAAGGTTTTAATGAATTTTGAATACTAGCCTATTGGAAAAAATATAAAATATATTGTAATATCTTGAAGATAATAGAAAAAAATATAGACTAAAAGAACAACAACCATGCCAGAGTACGAAGGCCAAATGAGTTTAAACTCTTCCGGACCATTGTAGAGAATAAGAGATGCCAAATCATATAAAAAGCTTCAAAACCATTGTGCAAAAAGAAAGAGACCAACTCAAGGTGGTCAAGCCAAACCTGAACGGAAAATGAAAGAGAGCAATTAAAAGATCGTGGCAAACATGATCGGAAGAATCAGAGCTAATAAGCTATAATAACAAAAATATTTTATTACAAGAGTTACTTTCAATTTATTTGAAATAATTCTTCTTTTAGTAATTCATATGGTCGTACCCAAAGTTTGCAGTAGTTTGGTTTCTCCCAAGCACGAATCTCAAACCGGCCGCCCGACATCTCTCTGAAATGAAGCTTTCTCTTCGGCGATCCTCTTCCGACCGGGTTTTTGCCTAGTCTTTTGCTCTCCTCTTTTGGACTCGCCCTACCTTAGCCGATGAATCGATCATTCCCCTTCCGTCAGATGAACTTCAGCGATGAGGTCTATTCTCATCGCTTGCTCCTCTGCATTTCGCCTGAGCTTGTGTCGATGGGTTTCCTTCAGTGCCAATCCTCCGTGATGGCGACTTCATCGGTGCAGCTGGAACCACCAGCTCCACCAAACCCACTGAATCTAGGCTCTTCTCCTCGGCTGTCGGTTTTCATCTCTGTTATGCTGGTTGAGAGTTTTCCTCCTTTGCCGGATTTCGCTGCTCCTCCAACGCATATTCCTTTTGCCATGTCGTTCGTCGCTGCTCCCTCTTCCTAAAAGTCTCTCGTTTGTTCTCGCCGGTGATGCATTCATATTTTAACATCTTTATCATACATTTTCTTTAGTTTTTATACTCATTAGACTTTCATTTTGCATATTTCTCATCATTTTGAGTCTTATATAGAATAAGTTGAGTTGTAGAGTTTTAGATTACATTTCATTGCATTTGCATAGTCCTTGAGTCATTTTTAGGTACTTTGGAGGCTAAGAACCAAGAAGAGCCAAGATGGAATGAAGAAGGATGCAAAAATGGACCAAGTAGAATACCGCCGACCTCATTCGCCAGGCACAAAAATGCAATATCCAACTTGGCCGCCGAGTTGAAATGGCCAATCTCGTAGGAAGGCTCTCCTAAACCGGCCCAGATCCGCTCAAATCCGCCGAGTTGAGAAGCCGACTCTGCAACAACGTTCCTTCAACTCGGCCACCTCATTTTCTCTTTCTTTTTAGTTGGATCTGATCCAATTGTTCCGGGTTGACCTGGTTCCGTTTTACCTAGTATAAATATGATTTTATACATAAGAAAAAATGGAAGTTTGATTTGCTATTTTCTCCTTTGATGCAAAACTCTCTTTGGTGATGATTTATGCTTGGATCTTTTTTATTTTCTTAATTTAGTGAAGTTTCCTTAATTTTTCCTTTTCTT